TAAAATAAACAGCAAGAACGAGCAATTGTCTATAACGAATGATTTACGGCCGTTCTTATCATTATGTGAGTTATAAGATTGTCCACCACTACTTAAGCGAGTGCAAGTCCTCTGCAGTGCTCAGTTACTGTCATCTGTGGGCATTTGGAAAGTGAGCTAGCATCTGCTAAGCTCTGTGGAAACTGGTGAGTCATCATATCAACTTTGACCTAGCCACACTCACTGAAGAGGAGTTGAATATGTGATGTGGCAGAGGTGTTTGATGGTATAAGCGCCTAATAGGTAATTGACTCACTTTCAGGCCTCTGAAGACGGCGTAATAAAGTGTTCCACTAAAAACCTATTACGGCATAACAACATCAAGATTCATCATCGTGCCTAGGTTTCAAGATGGGAGATCTTATGAAGAATAGAATCAGTTCTTTAATACATGAACAGTGCGAACCTCACCGAAAGAGAGGTGAAGCAATATAACAGGAATACCTGTGAATATGTATGTATGTTCCGAATACTTGTTACTGAACCGATAAGGCCCAATCCCGACACATATATTTTACCAGTGCTTCACCTCTCCTTCGCAGAAGTTCGCACTGTTCATGTATAAAAAAATTAAATTTATTGGTTTTTTACAACAGCCAGACAATTCTCTTAGTTTATTTCAAACTATCAAACATGCACTTTCTGCGAAACTGTTGGAAGTTTGGCCTCACCTTTCAACGCTTTCTTGAAGGGGTGACGCGCACGCCATCTATCCCGACCATAGAGTCCTTCCATAAACACGAAATGAACAACCAACTTACCACGTTTTCGCAACAAAATTGCTCATGTTTACATTGTGTTCTGCATTTAACATGACAGTGATTGATAACTGCTTTTTGATTTTCTTAGGACAAATGAACTAATTTCGTGACAGAAGAGAAACACACATTCACACACACATGCAGGCAAATTAGCGCTTTATTATAAGTAATGATATTATATTTCAGAAATCGGCTGGTAAGCAGTAATTTAATTGTTATCAGATTATCTAGGCAAGATCGTCACATATAGTGTCTATCTCATATGCATTAGCAGTAGAAGTCAAAGTACAATAGCCCAAGCAGCCAAATTGTATCCATTATATCTTCTTCGCATCTGTAGAAACGAAGAAAAAGGGGATTATTCATGAAAGTGTTGTGTTAGCAGGCTTGTGAGCCTTCAGCTGCGTTGGGTACTTACAAAATGTTGTAGGGTCATTGACAGAAGAGCGGCGGGGAAAAGGCACCGAAGAGCTCTGCGACTTTCTGCTCCATTTTCTAGGATTGTGGTATACATTTACCATTCTCTTGGTTAAACTATGTTTTTAACTTCGAGTGTTGTTCGATAATCTAACTATGCGTTTTCACGACGCAAGATTCAAGCAAAAGGTCCTTCAATGATATTGAGTTGTCGTTGCTTGAAAATGAACTTAGCAATGATTAATCGCTGTCAGACTAACCTAACAATATCAGACACTTATGGTTCATGAATGGAAGTAGTTAGAGCGGGGCGGTTGCTCCTTTAAAGGCAGTGTCCGGACAAATTTAAGGATTGAGAGTTCTCATTAGGTTATAATAGCCGAGCTCTCAACTAAGCAATTTCCAAAGTTCAGGAATCGCTGTTGTGGACGAGGAAACTCCTCAACGTTTTGGTCACTCTTCCCCCCAAAGATTTCCCTCTCAGCATCGCCTGTTTGGCTTTTCTCAAAAGCGCCGTTTGGCGAGAAAGTCATGCAGTTGTTTTGCAACCAAATGTCGAAAACTTGAAATCGCTCCTCTGACACGCAACCGTTTTGCAACCAAATGTCGAAAACTTGAAGTCGTTCCTTTTAACGCGACCGTTTTGCAATGAAATGTCGAAAACTTGAAATCGCTCCTCTGACACTCATCC